TGATGGCTCATTCGTGAGTTGCTGGCCCCGTTTGTAACTTAACCATACGACCGTCAAAACGGTTGATGAAGTTTCAGGTAAAAGGCAGATCAGTCTGATTAATTCTTCTGGCCAGCATTTCGAAATCGTTTCCGCCTTGGAACATTTGAAGTTCAAGCCAGATAAATTATGAAACCAAAAATGGATTTATACCGTTTTTTACAACGGTGCGTTTTGCGCCCATCTGCGTGCGTCTTTATCGCTTATCTCTTGCATTTTCTAGTTAATATAAGTTTGTTTTGAAACATTTTAAGGTTGTTTTTGTAAACGTACCGTTTTGGACGGTATCCTTGTTAATCATAATCTGTATGAATTATTATTTTTCATGGTTTCAATCACTTTATGGACGCTAATATATTGATTTTATTTTTCAGATGGATGTATCTGATGCTGCTCCTTTGTCACTGATAAATACTAAAGGCGAATCTCCTAATCAGTTACGAAGAAGTCAAAGAGCTAGCGCGAAACGAGCTCAGGAAAGGATGCGTGGCGAGTTCAAAGATGTGTTGGAGGTGAACGGTTCTGCTGCAAAGAAAGGCTCAAAGTCAGATGATGCGCATAATGTACGAGTTTTAAAATCATATTGCACGTTACAGCTGTCGTTTCAGAAATTGGATTCTAGCGACGAATCACCTGAACAGCCGACTAAAAGGAGGCGACTTTTATCATCGATTTTTATAGAGCCTTCTGATCCTCACTTTGCTATACAGCAGCAGGATGACGGTGCGGTAGTTATTCTCTCTGACGACAGTGATGTGTCTTCTTTACATTCCGATGAAATCGCAGTATTAAAGAAAGATTTTGACAAGGTTTGTCTTCTGGTGAATTTTCCAACTCGATTATGACACCGTGACTTTTTAAAGCTGCTCAGCAAAGAGCCGACGAATGAACAGATCGTGGAACGCGATCTTATTATTAAGGATTTAAAGATGCAGCTTCGAATCGAAGAGGCCAGGTTGGTGCTCCTGAAGAAAATGCGACTCAGCCAGCAGCTTCCAGTAAAAGTAAGACTTTATGACAAAGCGATCTGGCAGCACCAATAAGTGATGCTGCTGACTTTGCCTGTCACCCATTTTTACTGTTGCACATACAGCGTAGCACAGCGTCGTTTGTACGGTGTTATGTCAGTCAGCGCTTAAATGCAGTGCGATATAACTTTACCACCGAACCCGAATCTCATGCAGTGGTCGGAGGCAGACATATTTCGTACATTCAATTCTGCTTTGTGTCCTTAGGTTTCAAATTTTTGCCTGTACTTGAACGAGTAGTTCTCTGTCGCAGTTTGGTTTGCTTTTTTAATTTTAGAAAAGCTTGCATCTTAGCTTCCTAGCTTAAAAACGGTTTCAGCGTTGCTTACTTTCAAGAGGAAAAAATGAATTTTGACGCCAAGTTATCTTTCTTTTTATTCCGACTGTGTAACTGTAGCCGGATTCAACACTGTTCAAAAGCAGTATTACATAATATTACTTTATTGCTTGTTTACCGTCATGATCGTTCCGCTTAATTTCGGAACAAGGTCGTACGACAGTTTTGTTAAAAATGTGTGCTCACGAACACTAATATTCTTACTTGCGGATGCGACAGCACAGCTATTTCTCAAGGTGTTCAAATTGTCAAGCCAGGTGCAGTGCTGTGGTTCTCTTTCCAGACTTTTGACCACTTACTGGCTATCGTATGGTGGGAATTTCCGCATTCGCAAACGCATTTTTCTGCTGCAGCATGTAAACTTAGTGTACGGTCGATTGAGGACATCCCGCTGTTTGCGATCAAGTCGCCTCGCGGTCACTGTATAATGAATGGAAACTATTCTTGGTACAGTGAAAGTCTGTTTCTCTACTCCTCTGTACGGTCTTAAGATGACGCCATTAGATCGCAGTTTGCTTCATAGGACGGCATCGACGAGTTTAGTTTAAGCTAGCCGGTTTTCTGATCCTAGTTATTATGCCACTCTTATTAGCAGCTCTCATGCCTTCTAATTTCGGTAATGCTCGTGAGGATGGGCAGGCAGGCAGATGAGTGGCAAGCAGCATTTCTGCGATGATTCGCATTGCGCTCTTCAGGCCGCCGTCGCTTTCGTGTGTGGATATTTTGGATACGTACCAGACAGCAGTGACAACAGTAATCAACTGTGGACGAAACGATAGGCAGCGCATTGGTTCATAGATTTTAGCCGTCGGGTCCAAGGTCGTTTCGGTGAATTTTTTCCACTTTCGTTACAAGCGTTCCTCATTGAACATGTTTTTCGCTTATGATATTTCAGCATGAGGCTGCGGTTCAACATCACTTCACGGTATTTTGGCTGGGCTTCGTCTTTCACTTGGTAACCGCAGAAAGTAACTTGAAGTGTCGTTTATGCCAGGCGGCTGTCAAGGGGTTGGGCGGGGACATCAGCGATCGCGCTAGTCGTCCGGTGTCCATCGGCTGTTGAAATGCTACCGATGCAGTGTGAAGCGCTTTCTTGAATTGCTGAAGTCATGCCATTGGCCTTAACGATCTTAGTCGTACCTCGCAGCTAAATATATTGAGGAATAAGGAAGCGACCGAACCTTGAAGCGGTAGCTTACAGAGTGCACAGCTGGCCTGGTTCTCTGCCTCCACGCAGAGTCTATGGTTGTCGAGGACAGATGCGCGGTATTTTGTTTCACCACTACACCCTGTGCGGATTGTTGTGCTGCACATTCAGCTACAAGGGAGTAAAAGCGAAGTCTAGCCACAAAGGATGCTCTGTCAGACACCATGGCCATACACCACGTACATTTTTGGTGTTACCACACCAGAATATGATGCTCTCGGTGTTATTTGCCACTCAGCTATTTGCTATCCGTTTTTCGGCTAGTTTCACAGAAGCGATGCGGGTATATTCCTTTCCGACTGAAGTTTATCGTTGAAGTGAAGATAGTTTCTTCTGTGCATTCCAACCTGGTGCCTCAGGAATTCGAAGTAGACCGCTGTGTCACTGTACCACCACGCCCAACAATGCTGTTTGCTGGTTTCAAGAGTGGTTCGTGTATCCGTACCATGTCGAAGGTGCATCTGATGTTACTATGTCAAACCATTCGGTTCTTTGCCTTATTTGATAGCCGGATTGTGTTCCCGATATGCCGCGAATCGGAAGGCAATACCGCATGTCCTTATATCAGTATCACCTCTACCTACGATCGGCACGAAGTTTGCTAGTAGCATTCGCTCCAACAGTTCTCATGCTGTACAGAGGAACCAGGTTGACGTAGATTGAACTACGTAGATTGAACCGTCATCATTCAGCTTCACGGACTTCAAGACGAT